CAAGGTCTAGTCCCCGGCGCATCCGACGAGGCGGGCGACGTCGCCGTCGTCGCATGAAGACTCCATTCACGAAGACGACTAACGTCGGGGATCGGCCGAGCGGCCCCGCGGAACGCACGTGAATTTCCACGTGCACTTCCGCGTTATTTTCCAGGAGATCACCCCCAGAAAATCGAATTAACGAATGCATATTGAATCATAAGTTGGCCGACTTACATATTTCGGGCCATTCCACAGCCGCGGGCGGCGGGCTCCCCGAGGGAAAGGGCGCGGCGAGAACGGGGGCGTTCCCCTCGCTGGGCGTGCGGGCGCGGGGGCCTCGCGCGAGCGCGTCGACGCCCACTGCGGCGCCCCCCCCCCCGCCCCCCCCGCGCCCCGCGCTCCCCCGCGAGGTCAAGTTTGCGGCGTTTCAAGCCTCCTCGGAACACCGCGCCACCCTGGGTCGCCCCCGCGCGGGCCGGAGCGCCCTGTCAGGGCCAGCCCCTGCTGGCGAGCCGAAGGCAAAGGGCGGGGGGGGGCGGGCGCGGCCGCGCCGGCGCCCCCCTGGGCCCCCTCTGCCAGGGCCTCGTCGACGTCGACGCAGTCGGCGCCGTCGCCAGCGGCATCTTCGACGCGCCCCCCGCCGCCTCGGACGGCAGCTCCGAGGAAGACGCTCGATTTCTGGAGGCGTTGACTTTTTTTCGGAGGGAGGGGGGGGGGGCTTTTCGGCGCGCTCGAGTTTTGCCCCGCCCGCGGGGAGGGGCCCCCCCCCCCCCCCCCCCCCCCCCCCATGCGCAGCGCGGCCCGCGCGAAAAATCGCTTGCCTGAACATTCCGCCCGCGGAGCTCCGCGGGTGGGGGCGCGCTCGAAAAATGCCCAGCGCTGCCCCCCTCTCCCCCCCCCCTCCCCACCCCGACATTTCGAGCGACCCCCGCGCGTCCGACCCCGCCCCGCCGCCGCCCCCGTGGGCGACGCGGCCGCCGAGCACGCGGCGCGGGCGCCCTCGGCGGCCCCAGGCCCGCCGCCGCCGCGCTGCCCGGGGGGGCGAGCGCGGGCGGGGAGGCGGCCAGTGGGCGGGGGGGGAACGGCGTCACAGGCTGGCCGAGGAGAGGGTCTTGCACCCGCGGTCTTGGCACCCTCGGGCAGGGCGGCTAAGTGCTGTCACCTGCGTTCAGACGGGTCGGCCGCTGATGGGGGGTCGTCGGTATGGCTGCCTATAGGAAGTCTTGCGATCGGGGTCACGCGTGCACTGGCTGCCCATCGGGGTTCGCGCGCCTGGCCTATGTCTGCACTGGCTGCCTATAGCTGGTCCTACGCTCTGGGCCGCGACTGCGCGGGGGGGAATGGCGCCCGGTGTCTCGGGCGGCCTCGATGCTATGATGCCCCCCGCCCCCCGCCCCCCAGCCCCGCCTCCCTTCCCCCCCTGCCCTCTCCCCGCCACCCCCTCCCGCCGTCTCCCCGCCGCGTCGACTTCTGGCCGGCGAATATCTGGTGCGCCAAAAACAATCGCTTCGGAACGCATTCATCCACTGTGAAATTATTTTATTGCGCGAAATAAGCCCGGGCACGTTTAAAGCGATGCGATGTGCAACTGTTCAGCGGGGCCGCTCGAGGCGTCGGCATTGGTGCAATCTCTGTCGCCATCCTCACTTGTCTCCGAATGCCCGTGGAAACAATGAAGAGCCCACGATCATCTGCGTCGCCGCCCCCTCCTCCATCGCCGCCCCGGCCGGGGGATTTGGCGCGTCGGGCGGCCCCTCTTACGCGGTCATCACTGTGGGAGAGGACTCTTCTGACGGCATGAGAAATTCGGGGAAGTCGACGCCTCTCGAACAGGTCGCCCCTGCGCGCGCGAACGACTTATGGCCCGATCCTCTTGAGTCGAGAAATCTAGATGCGTCCACGATTGCTTCTGCTTGTTCGGCTTTCTCCCAGTCCTCTCGCCCGCTACGGGCGCGCATTAGAATTGCTTCCTGCCCATCGAAAGTGCTAGCCGTGCGCGTTTGTTCTCCGCCAGCGTCATTCTTCCAGGCGCGATTTCTCTGCGCCCGCTTCGGCCTCCGACGTGCTCCAAGCGCAACAGCTGCGACTTCCAGTCGCGAATCAAGGTGGGCGTTGCAGAGCGGCGCAGAGCATTGAAGTTCTGCGGGCGCCCTGGCACCGCTGCGAGAATGGCGTGCCCGCGCATGCCCCGGAGCCGTGGCAAGGCGCAGCTGCGGTTTTCTCCCCGGGGCGCGGCGCGAAGAGCTTCCCGGCGCCATGGGCTGGACCCAGAACGCCACTCCACTCGCCCAACCACTCCACGACGAGGAAGCGCTTGCGGCATCGCGGAAAGTGAGACCACCAGAGAGTCACTCAGCACCGCAGACTGAGTCCGCGGCGCTGCCGGCGCCCCCCCGCCACTTCGCACCGTCGCGCCGTGCGCCTCACGGAGAACAAGCCAAGTATTACGCGCCTCTCTCTGCCTGGCAAGGTCGCCACTGACCGCGCGCAATTCGGTCTGCATTTCCTCGGCCAGGTCAATGGCATTGCGCTCGTTGGGGCCCACCTGTCGCGCCGCCGCTCTCGCTACTTCCCTCGCGCGGTGAACCAAGGCAGCGGCGCGCGCCTCTTTCTCGCGCGCTGCGCATTCTACTGATCGATAAGACCCAGTAACTACTTGCTCGGCTTTCTGCGGAAACTCATGCGCGAGAGCTTCCGTCGCAGCCCTGCTTCTCGGCCTCTCGTTTCTCTGGGCCTTCGCTTCGCCAGTTATTCCTGCCCCTTCTTCTCTTTCTGAATTTCGGCCATGGTCCTTCGGGCTGATCCCGGGGCCGACCGTTGGCTCAGTTACGCGCGCCGCGTAGCGTGCAGAAAAAGAGCCCCCCCTCGGCGCGACCCCCCCGAACGCGCCCACCCCTCTCTGCCTTGGCGGCGCACGTCTGCGCTGCAAATTCCTCGCGCAACCTCGCTTCGCTGGCCGACCTTTTCTCCGCCTCGGCCAGTTGCCGTTCCAGCAGGGCGACGCGGCGGCAATCGTGTTCCCTCATATCCAAGCATCCGGACATGACCAGCCAATTCGCACACGCGCGAACATCATGCACGCGCCGGTCGTTGACACGGCCCCCCCGCTTTGCGCGCCTTCCCCTAGCACCTTTTCCCCTGCTTATGGGAAGCACCCCTGCCTCCTGGCCCAGCGGCCGATCTTTGCTGAGATTCCTGCGGGGGAGGGCCTGCAAGGCCCCGGGCTACCTCTCGACCCGCTGCGCAATCTAGATGCCAAAAGTGAGATTGACAAACATATTATGCCACCGCTGCGCGGGGACGTGCTTGGAATCGGAAGGTCCTGGGCCCCGATCCTTTACTGGGCATCGTTGTTCGTCGACCGTACCTCCTGCCATATCGGTCCATGCTGACATCCCGGGGCGTTTTTTGGGGCGTGTTGCTGCAGGTGTCTCTCTCGTGCTCTGTCTTGCGCGATTTGCTCGGAACACAATTGGGATCGTCTTGCTACTAATCGACGAGACTCCAAATTTGAGATCTTCATCTCACACGATGGCACGCAGCTCTAATCCATTTCGCCCCCTCTTCTCCGGCGGCTGAACCGGCGCCGATTCGCCGTCTACCATCGGCGTGAATGAGGTTATCAAACAACGAGAAGACAGGTACCACAAAAGTAAGATGGACCCGTTTGTCCAATAGCGGCATCTTGTTGCGATCACGGACGTTCTCCACAGCAACATGTGGATGACTGTCATACGACTTTCGGCTGATAGCCAATCAATATGATTTTCGGCTGACAGCCCATCTTCCGCCAGAGGGACACGATGTTCCTGCAAAACTTGGCTTAAATGGGAATGGTGAAATATGGGTCTCAGCGCCCATGATGGGTCTGCCACATGGGCGTCTTAGTAAGTAATCGGCAATCCGCTAATCTGTATAAGAATGAGGGAGGAGCAGAAACGATGACTCCCCTATCCCCTCGCGCGCGCGGGACGCTTGCAATCCTCGCTTCGCTCCTCGAAGCAATCCTTCACAGCTGCGGGCAGCGTCGGTGGCGGCGGCGGCGGCAAACACAGGGAGCGAACGGGGAGAAAACAAAAACAACTGTATTGGCAAACGACCCACCGTTTGCTGGGCCACCCCGCAGGCACCTACCTGAGACCTCGTAGTCTGATCAATCACTTGAACATATCGAAAGCTCTCTTTGCTAAGCCTCTGGAAGGACCCCCCCCGTATTTCTCCTCCTCCTCCTATTTCACCTCCGCGTTCCCCCCCTTCATCCTCCCCCCCTCTCTTCTGACTCACCCTCCGTCGCATTCTTCCCATTTCGTTTCCTGTCCTCTTCCTTTTGATTCCGCCTATAGTCGTTTCCTGCTTCTACTGTTATCCTGGCCATCATGCTCGACATACTCCTCCAGCTGTTTCTGCACATCCTGATCACGCAGCTGCTCCTCCTCGTCGTCTTCCTCCATGCCGACCTTTTCACACTTCTCCTCCTCCGCATCTCCCCTTCATCATTATCATATTATTCGTGCTCCTCCCACTCCGCCAGTTTACCTTGCCCTTCTTCCTCCTTCTCTTCCACAAGCTCATAATTACTACTCTTGCTCCGCCACCAACCCCGTCCTCATCCCTCCCCCTCCTCATTTTCTTCGTGGCGGACCCCCGTTTTTGGACAAATCGACGACGACGACTGCATACCTGCGACGACCACGACCACAGCGGCGGCGACGCCGTCGACGACGACCACGGCGACGACCACGACCGCGATTACGACGGCGGCTGCGACGATGACGAAGAAGCGGGCGGCGACAGCGGCGGCGAATACGCCAGCGACGACGCCGACGGCGGCGGCGGCGACGTGTGGAGGCCTCCGGAACCAAACAGTAAATAACAACAATCCGGAACCTTCGATGACCGCGACGACGACGGGTTGGCGGCGGTGGCGGCCGCGACGACGACGACGAAGGCTCGCCGCGAAGGCGGCGGCCACGCGGAGCGAAAGCCGAGGGCGGCGGCGACGACGAGCGGCTCGCCGCCTGAAGCGCGTGGCGCTGCAGCGCCGGGCAGACGCCCAGCACGTGGTCGGCCAGCGCGGGCCCGCCGAGGTGGCCCGGCAGCGGCACGTCGCTCGGCGGCATTGAGAGCCCGCCCTTCGGCGCCTCGGCGGCGGCCGCGAACGTCGCCGCCGCCATGGCCAGCGTCCTCGCCGTTGCAAGCGCCATCGTCTCCGCCACCGCCGTCGTCAGCCGCCGTCGCCGCTGTGTCGGTGTCGCATGCACCGTCGGAGACGTCACCGTAGCCGCCGTCGCCGCCGTCGCCGTCGTCGTCGCAAACGACGTGACCATAGCCGTAGCCAGAGCAGCACTCGTCACGATCAAAGAAATAGTCGTCATCGTCACCATCGCCGCCGCCGTAGGCGCTGTTGCTGCAGCAACCGTCGTCGACGACGAGGGCGACGACAACCGGCAGAGGCGGACATCGAGGAGGGTGAACGAGGAGGAAGAACCGGAGCAGGGCGCGAGTAGCCGAAAGCCGGTACATTCGTGTCGGCATTCGCATAGATCCCGACGTCATTGTCTAAAAGTACTCATGGGGGGCGTCTGCACCTTCCTGGCGGGTCCCGCATCAGCACTTGCTGACATCCAACACATATTCTCCGATTAGCCTGGGTACGAACGCGTATACGTCCATATACATACATATAGACACGCATGTGAACCACCGTGGACCTCAAACCGTATTTCGGGCAGCACGCGTTATGCAATCGACCAAGACAGATATTTGTGGTACAGTGACCGTGATGCACTCGATGTTGTGCATCATGTGCATGACAATACATACTGTGTAATGTATGTATGTGGTGCAGGCGAGGCTGTGCAACATACGTGGTGCATCACATTCGATGTGCAACATATGTTGTGCAATCCGTGTGGTGCAAGCTACGTGGTGAACGACATATGTGGTGCAATCGACGTGGTGCAATGTATGCGGTGCAACCCACGTGGTAACATATGTGTGTTGCACTACAGGTTGTGTAGTTCATGGCGTGCGAACTTTATGGAACAAGCGACGGCTTGCAATCTGCGTGGTGCAATATAAGTGGTGCAATCGACGTGGTGCAATGTATGCGGTGCAACCCACGTGGTAACATATATGTGTTGCACTACAGGTTGTGTAGTTAATGGCGTGCGAACTTTATGGAACAAGCGACGGCTTGCAATCTACGTGGTGCAATATAAGTGGTGCAATCGATGCTGTGAACATGTATACGTGTATGTTGAAATCGACGTGGTGCAATCTATGTGGTGCAGTACAGGCTGTGCAATTTATGCTGTGTAAAATTCATGGGCCAATTCAGTGTGCAGTAGATGTGGCACATTCTATTTGGTGCAATTGACTACCCTGCACCACGCTTGACCACTCCACTGCTCGCGCAAACATCCCACCCACCCACCCGCAACTTGGTTCGCAAAATCTCTTAAGACCGTGACGGTGGGTACCAAATGGCACTTGCCGCCGACAGCGACGCCGACGACGACAGCGACAACGACGACGACGACGCCGCCGACAACGACTACAACGGCACCGACGACGCCTCCAAAGACTTCGACGACGCCGACAACGACGACGACGACGACGACGACACCGACGACGACGACGACGCGACGCCGACGACGACGACGACGATGACAACGACGACGACGACGACGACGACGACAACGACGACGCCGACGACGACGACGACGACGTCAACGACGCCGACGACGACGACGACGACGACGACGACGGCGGCGGCGACGACGACGACGCCGACAACGACGACGAAGACGACGACGACGCCGACGACGACGACGACGAAGACGACGACGACGTCGCCAACGAAGACGACGACGAGGGAGGAGGGAGGACGACGACGGCGACAACGGCGACAACGACGACAACGACGAGGGAGGAGGGAGGACGGCGACGACGCGAACGACGAAGAAGGAGGAAGGACGGCGACGCCGACGACGACAACGACGAGGGAGGAGGGAAGACGACGACGACGACAACGACGACGACGACGACGACGCGACGAAATAGGAGGGACGACGACGAGACGCCGACGACGGACGACGACGACGACGAGGGAGGAGGAGGAACGACGACCACGGCGACAATGACGACGGAAACGACCACGACGCCAAAGAGGACGACGACGACGAACACGAGGAAAGACAGAGGACGACGTCGGCGACGACGACGACGACAACGACGCGGGCGGAGGGAGGACGGCGACGACGACGACGACGACGACGCAAGAGCGCGCGCGCACGCTTTTGTTGGAAATCCGTGTTGCGAAACCTTTTGTTGTTGTAGGTTTTTTGGACGCGCGATTTCGAAATCTTTCCGAAACCGATGGGTTTTGAAGGATTTCGGCGTATGCGCGCGACCACGCGCGCCTGCACTTCGTCCCATTTGTTGCTGAGGATTCTCGCGACGGCACAAGCGCAAGGGCGTTCGACAAATTTCGACATGCGCGCGCGAAGCCCGTTTGGTAGCATGTTGTGAAAATATTGAAAAACCTATGGTTTTCTTAAGATTTCGCAAGAGCTCGCGCGGAAGTTTTTTAGCAAATCAGTGTTGCGAAACCATGTGTTTTTGTATGTTGCTTGGAAGCTCGATTGCGAAATCCTTCCGGCACAAAAAGGTTTTTGAAGGATTTCGGCATGCGCGCGCGACGACGCGCGCGTGTGCACTTCGTATCATTTTTCGCAAGGGATTCGTGAACAAATGCTATGCTAGAGCAGAAAATGTCACCGCATAGTGTTTTTTTTTTGTTTTCAAAAGGACCCTCAGGGGGGGGAACCGGCCTGCCTGGGATGGTACGATTTCATATTTGGGACGGACGAGTGCGCATTATATATATATATATATATGAAACTCTACTATCCCAGGGGGAAGCGTTAAGTCCAGGGGGGGTCGAGTCTGTTGTCTTTTTAGAAAGGAGAATCGACGTGGGTGCAACGTTCGCGGTGCAACCACTGTGGCGCAATCTATGTTGTGCGATCTATGTGCCGCAAGCGATTTTAACAAACGATTTGACACACCCCGCGCCAGAGCAAACATCCCACCCACTCACCCGCAATTTGGTTTGGATAATCCATGCGATGGCGATTGCGGTGCATGCGTGGCGTTGGCCGGTGCATCTCTGCTGCCGCGACAACCAAAGCACGCGCGCGCAGCGGCCAGCTATTTTGGCGCGGCCGACGCGGCCGCGGCAGCGCTGACCGCTGGGCACGTCCCAGCGGGCACTTCGCTGCGACTCGGCGACTTGGGCGGGCGGAGTATCATGGCAACGCCAACAACGGTAGACACGATGAAAATAATAGCGATGCTGGTGGCGATGACAGCGACGACGGCGCGACTGGTGCGGGCGCCGATGCTGATCACGCCGGCGACGATGACGGCGTCCTCGCGTCGGTGATGAAGGTTTTGGAATGAGTTCGGCATGCGTGCGCGGCCGACGCGCGAGTGGCCCGCATGGTATTATTTGACACGGATCGTGCTCCCCCACCACGCGCGCAAGGGCGTGCGAATGATGTCGGCATGCGGCGCGACAGGCACGTTTGGCAGAATCCCATGGACATGTTGGAAACCCTATGGTTTTCTTAAATATTCGCAAAAGCGCGAACGCACGCATTTCTGACAACTGGTGTTTCGAAACCATGTGTTTTAGATGTTTGTTGGACACTCGGTTTTGAAATCGCTGCGAAACCAAAGGTTTTCGAAAAAGGATTCCGGCATGCGCGCGCGACGACGCGCACGCGCGCACGTCGGATCGTCTGTTGCAAAGGATTCTCGCGACGGCACGCGCAAAGGCGTTCGAACGATTTCGACATGCGCTCGCGCGCGAAGCCCGCTTCGTAGCATGTTCTGAAAATGTTGAGCAGGCTATGGTTCTTCAGAATTTGCCAGAGCGCGCGCGCAAGTTGTTTTTGAACATCCGTTCTGCGAAACCCTGTGTATTTTAGATGCTTGTTGAGCATCCAATTTTGAAATCCTTCCGGAACGACGGTTTTTGAAGGATTCCGGCATGCGCGCGCGACGTCGCGCGCGTGCGCGCTTCGTCTTATTTGTTGCAAGGCTTCTTTTTTTGCAAACTGAATATTTGTGATAAGCGCGTGCACGCGCATAGCATTTTTTGCATGGGGTGGCGGGGGGGCGGATGCCAGTCCCCCTGGGATGGTGCGAGTCTATACTAAGGGGACGGTGGGGCAGAAGCATATGTAACATGCAATGCGAAAAGGGGGGTCGATAATCCTGGGGATCGAGTCTATTCTTACTCCGGAAGAAATTTTGTGCTGCATAATCTAAGCGGCGACGTGGCGGCGACGAGGTGGCGACGGCGACCACGGAGTCGCCTGACCGCCGCGCAGGCCCAGACGACGGGCGGCGACGAGCCGGCGACGGCGAGCACGGAACCGCCAGACTGCCAGCAAAGCCCAGACGACGGGCAGCGACGAGGCGGCGACGGGGCGGCGACGGCGAGCACGGAACCACCAGGCCCAGTTGCTCAGAAGGGCAAGAAGAAACCCTATGTACAAGCATTTTTTGGGGAACGTACGGACGCCGTGTTGGACAAAAATCCCTGGACACGACGGAACCGCCGCTCTCCCATGAAAAAAAACCCAAAATAGCCCCCCCCTTTCCCCCCGCACACCGGCCTCTCTAACCAGCCTCCCTCCCTTTCCTCCAAGGGGGGACGTGATCGAAACGCCCCCGCCCCGCCCCCCCCCCCCCTGTCCAACGCCCCCTCTTTATAAAATCCCAGTAATGCTCGATCAAGCTCGATCAATACTAGTATAGCTGCTATGGCATCCTAGTCGGGGTCGATCCAACGCTGATAGAATCGTTTTATTGCTGGGCCCAGCTCTAATCCCACCAGCCCTCTGGGCGAAGGTGGTCTAGGGAGGCTCCTCTTCCAACCCCCTTCTTCCCTCTCGGGGAGGGTTTACCCCTCCCCCCATACCCCCTTCCCCCTGGACGTGGACGGGGGTGGTCGCGGGTAGTTGGGCCGTCCAAGATGGCCAAAGACGGCTCCAAAAACGCCTCGGAAGACCAAAGATGTTCTCCAAGATGGCCCAAGATAGCGCACGATGGCTCAAAATGGTTTTCA